GGAGAATTTTCATTTTCCCTTTGCTTTGAAAGCCTGCTGGTAAGCTGGGCAGCTTCTGCTAAGCGTGTGGTGCTTGCAGTTTGCGCCATGGGTTTTTGCGCATAGAAGGCAGCGTGCCTCTTTGTTGCAGCTTTTGGACTCGTGATCGAGCCCCCCGCAGTTGAAGCACGCTTTGGACAAATCGACCTTGCTACGGCAGTGCAAGGCAATGCGAGGCATTTATAGCATCGCTTAGGCTCTACGGTTTTACGGACCCTACAGTGCGCCCAGTCGATGCGGATTTTTCCGTCCACTAGGATCTTCTCCGCAAGAACGGGCGGGATGCTCAACCTGGCTACTAGTGTGCCCCCGTATGTCTTCCTTAGGGAAGGAATGGCCGCTGGTGTGATATCGCCCTCATAGTTTGCGAAAACCGCCTGGATGATATCGTCCTTCGACGAGAACTCTGATATGTCCCTAAGACTAGTGCGTCTGAGCGTGGCGGGAGTTTTCTCTGCTGCTGCTGCTTTTTTGGTTGCTGCTTCTTCGGTTTTTTGGTAACCGTCGACCATTTTTCCGCACCCTCCTTCGTGCCTTTGGCCGCATGGCTTGGCGGAAGAGGGCTGGAAATTTCCTTCGCTGCGCTTGCGTAGGTGATGGAATTCACCACCTTATTGCTTGTGCCGCAAGGTTGCGGCACCTTCTTTCTTTTTGGCGCTGAGAGCTTACCGGCTCTAGGGCTCTCCCGTGACCTCTTGGGAGTGGGCTTTTGCTCACTGGGATTCTTTGGAGCCGTCTCCAAAATTCTTAACGCCGACATTTGGAGGGTGATAACCTGCTGCACGAGTTCCTTCATAGGAATCGTCACCATCACCCTAGTCTTTCATACCGTCATGCTATTTAGTTGGGACAATTTCGCCCCAATCGCGCCAATAACTCCGTCTATGTCGCCATTGGCGATAAGCGGAGCCAGCCCCTGCTCTGTAATTGCGCTTAAGTGGAAGACCCCAACTTCTGTGGGACCTCCAGCATGCGCCGTATCCGCCTGTTCCTGCTCTACTGCAGGCGAGAAAATGGGTGGAGATTTTGGCACCTTTGTCGGTGATCTCCCCAGTTTGCTGCTTTTCTTGAACGGGTCGGCTTCCAGCGCAGCAGTGTTTTTTGCCGTTGCGCATTCACCCTTGCCCTGTGGCGCCTCCTTAATGCTGTTAACCGGGCCAGGGCCACGGCTCGCCATCCTTTAATTCTTTTGTTTTCTACCTGTCGCCTAAAAGTTGCTTGCTTTAGAGCTTTCCCCGCGGGTTGGCAGCTCGGCTTACGCTTGCTCAAAAGTTGGTAACTCTGCAGCGCAACTGATTAGTCAACTGACCACTAATATGGCAGACCCAATCCACCCAATTCGGAAAAATTGAGTGAAAAGGGTTTTCACTCACCTGAAAGGGGGTAACACCCCTTCGTCCCAGTGGGGGCACCGGAAAGTGCAGCAACGTATGGTGACGCTGTCCGCATTGGAGGCATCCTCTCGTGCTGGTGCAGCGAGGAAGAGCATGAGTCTTGCTAAGGCAATTGAGACAAAGTTTCTCTTTGCTCACGAGATCCTTGCGTTGATAACAATCCATGGAGAGAAAAGACGGACAACGTCGAAGGATATGGTTATCACCACAATGACAACAGCGAACGCTGGGGGGTCTTTGCTGTATGTTTGTGTTATGAACATGAAGGCGTCTTGAACCTGAATGCGAAGAAGGAGTTTTGTTAATAAAGGTCGAATTGCGATTTTCAATTGCATCAATAGTAACCAGACGGTCATTTAAGAATTGCTCGAATTCCTTAAACGTTGGGGCTTCAGTTTTGCTGCCCAAATAGTGCTCCCAGGCGGTGTGCGTTTCTTTCGGTAGCTTAGTGGATAGGTGATGTACCAGCCAGTGATCACATTTTCGTACCGGAACGTTAACTCGTTCGAAGGCAAACAAACATTCACAGTGCTCAGCATGCCTCTCATGTCGTCTGCCTCTTCCTCGTTGAGAGTCGGCATGTTATATAGCGCGTTTATGTGATGAGAGAATACTATGCGGCTGTTGTTGTAGCGTTTCACCAGAGTTGTCCATGCCACGTTGTAATTCGTCTCCGTAAGCTGCATTTGGCGAATGTCACCATCTCGACCTGCTGGAAGTGATTCCTTCAAGAAATGAAATTTCTGGATCTCGCTTAGCCGTGAGTTATGATGAATGAGCCTCGTAAACGAATCGTAGTAACCTGGCCAATCGATGAGTAAAGTTGTGCTCTTGCTAAAAATGGGCTAGGATTTTTTTTTCTTTTTTTAAGGGATACCTTGGGGAGATCTCCAAGATTTACAAATATGAATTAAATTGATTATGATCACACATTAACTTTTGTTAAGCACTTCAAAGTTCCCCTCATGGGCCACCAAAATGTTTTGTGTCGACTGAGCTAGGTATTGCTGCAAGCCTGCATTGTTCGTAGGGGTTCTAACTTTGAAACACACGATATTAAGTTTAGTGTTTAACAAACTTTAATGCACAATAATAATTAAATTAATTCACAATGATATAATGAAAAATGAGATATGAGAAAAATGAGATGTCGCGTAGATCTGCTCCGGCGTTCAATCGACCGACTCGTAGACTTCACTTTTTGGGAATGATTAATGATTAATGGTGGTCTTCTCTCAGAGAGAGCGATAGAGAGGAGACATCGCCGCTCTTTGCGATGTATGAAACGGAACTGCATCATCTGTCAGACATGATAGCAAATTAATAAATTTCTCTATGTTCGTTTGGGTAAATTAATTTTTGGTAACTCAGACGAATGACGATAACCACTTACATATATCACCTTAACTAAGTCCCTGAGGCTCGACTTCTCTCATTGCGGACCGATATAACGCTTTTGTAATTATGCGCATCTTCTCAACAGACGCTCTTAAGGCAGGTTCTCACCTTGTAGGGCCGAAAAATGGAAATTTTTTTATAAAAATTGTTTTGAGAAAACGGTTAAAGATAAAAATCTGCAATTTGTAACTTTATTTGAAAACATATTTTTTTGCGAAAAAAAATTTCAAAATTGAAAAATCAAAAAAGGGGCGTTTCTTAGTTGCAACATTTCGGCAAAAAGGTGTCCCGCTTACGGATAGCTCCCATACGAGAGAATGAAATAAAAAATTCTCACGCCGTTGTTTTTGATCAGATCGACTTGAAGAAATCAAGATGGCGTTTTCGAACTGTTATTGAATTTCGGATTAAATTTGATCAAAATCGGATAACTCTATCATATAGCTGCCATAAAAAAAAATTTACATTCTTTTACTCCACCCGGGAGCTTAGAGCCTCTACAATTTCTTGTAGAGGATTCGTTATCATTGATTTTCGATCGTACCGGTGATAAGCCAGTAGCGACTTATCCTAGCGGTGGGGATGCCACCTGGCGCCATCTAGGAGTGACGAAAATTCTATTGTTGGGTCCATAGTAACGTGGACGAGGGGGTGTGCGGGTCCGGGGAGCCGAAATTTGTTACTAATGTTAAGTGAGCGATAGAGCATAGAAGTGGTGGAGATTTGGAAAAAGAGACCGTTTCTTTTTCTCGGGGAGCCTGGGGCTCGACTTGAACCCGGGGCCTTCCGGACCGGAGGCCAGCGCTCTACCTGCTGGAAAAATATATATAGAATTAATGGAAATAAATTTATAAAATCGTTGTTTTTTATCCCACGAGCATGATTTTTTGAATTTCAAGTTTTTTAACAACTCTTATACTGAGAAAAAGGATTCATAAAAATCGGACAACTATATCTTATAGCTGCCATGGAAAAGATCAAAAAATCTATATAGAAATAACGGAAATAAAATTATAACATCGTTGTTTTTCATCAGATAAGCATGATTTTTGGAATATAGAGTTTTCTTACGACTCTTGAATTACGATTTAAATTTGATCAAAATCGGACAACTATATCATATATCTCCCATATGATCTATAGTCGAAAATATGGAAAATGAATAGAAAAATCGTCATAGCTTCGATGTTGTTTAACCTTTATGCATTTTGTTCGACATATTTGATGACTGCAAGGGTATATAAGCTTCGGCTTGCCGAAGCTAGCTTCCTTTCTTGTTTTTTTTTTTGCCACAAGGTGAGAACCTGCCTTAATATATATAATTTCATTTTTCCTTTTTTTCATAAATTTGACATATTTTTAGGTCAGCATTTTTTTAATAACCTAAAAAACCCTAAGATTTGCTTCGAGGTTATTAAATATTAACCTGTGCAAATTAAGCTTTTTTCAGTTTTTATTGTCTTTTGTTAGCTAGTTAAAACTTTTTTTTACCTTCTATTGTGTTTCCTACTAAATGTTGTAGTTAAAATCACTTTACTCAAATTTTTAGGGTATCATCAACCTTGACGACTGTAAGACTGCAAAAGAAAACAAGAAAGCGATTTTTTTTTATGTTATATAAAATATAAAAAATAAGTAATAACCCTCTGAATAAACCATTTTTGTTTGATTACCCTATTCACAGTGGCGGATTTACGGGGATGGTTTTAGGGGTTCAAACCCCTTCCAAAAAGCCCCGCAGAGCTGTAAAATTGAATTGAAACTATTTGTTTTTTTCATATTCGTATTTTTTTTCAATCGAAAACCCCCCAGATTGAAATTCTAAATCCGCTACTGCCTATTCATATTTTTTGCTTTGTAATTAATTAAAAATTAATATAATATAATAAGAAAATTATACCAATAATTTTAATATACTTTTTTTAATAAACAGTTTTAAAATCAAATATGTATGTTAATTATTCTTTTTACTGGGTTGCAATTTGATGGCTGAAAATATAATGCCCTCTGCAAAGTCATAAAGAGATTGCCTATGTATAAGTAGAAACTTCTACATATTTATCATAAGAATGTGAGAGCTCGGAAAAAGCTATTTATGGACCTTCCAATTTTGAATACAATTTCATGGCATCGTAAGCATTTTATTTAGGCACCTATTCATTTTTCTTGTTGCTGCTCGTTTAACGTTGCGTTAGCTTTACTGAAATTTTGCAATGAATTGCTTGTGGTTGATTGTTACTTATTTAAGTTGCCTGTTATTGACTATCCACGCTCAACAATTAAACGTCAACGATATTCAACACTTGGCCAAATCACAAAAATTGCTACACTTATATAAAGGAGAACATATACCTAATCAGTTCTATAAAGCCATTGAGAAATCCGATAGCAGTAAACTAAATTTGCAATCTAAACTACGAAATTTTATGGAAAATCTGCAAAAAAATTTGACCATGTCAGCAGTATTAACGGCATTCGAAAATACTTCCCACAATGCAGATGACTATATTATTCGAATGCAAGAATTGTCGACTTTTTTTTTTAAGGTGTCGTACGCAATTGAACAGTTTGCTATCGACGGTGAAGCCTTTTACGAAACATCGAAAAATTCAAGCCATGCCTTGTTGTTAAAGCTACGGCAAGTACCAACAGCTCAACCAACACTGGTTAAAGTCTTACTTACAAACTATTTTGCGGAAATGGAATTCTTTCACGTACTATTTTCGGAAATACTCAATGAAGCTCTGGAATATTCTTCGGAAACCTTAAAAGACATTCAAAATATATTTTATTACTATGCAGACACTCAAAGTACAATTTTACAAAATTTAAATTTAAAAATCGATTTGGAATGCTGCAAACTATATTTGGACTTTTTACAGCATCACTCGGCTCAAATTTTTAGATGTGCTACTGGGGATAAACTTAACATTGTTTACGATGTATATGCCGTAACAAAGCTTAACGTTAAATATATAATGAGACAGCTTGAGTTTCGCATTCAACGTCTTTTAAATTGTTTAATTTTTAAAAGTTTTATAATACAATGTAATTTTCTTACCAGCGCGGAGAAAGATCTGGAAAATTTATTTAACAAACTGTTCGAATTAGAAATGTATTTGGATGGTAAAACTAAGAAAGGTAGTATTTTGGCTTCAAGACTTTTGAGGAGAAATATATGGTATGATTCTAGTATACAGTCGCAATCGTCTCTTAAAGATTGTCTTCCAAGAGACTTTCCACGTGGTCAAATGTCAACTGAATTAACAAAGTGTTTGTTTTTATAACATTGAAAATTTTTTAAGATACATGCGGAAGCATTTGTAACTATAAATATATAAATGTATGCACTTAAAAAAGCTTTTTAAAATTGTTAAATTTTGAGGTCGTAACATGAGGTGGTAACATTTTTGTCACAAAAAAAAACTAAATAAAAAAAAGAAAAAATTCGCTTCGGTGCGTGTATATCACTATATTCTGTATTGATTTTATGCGTGTTTATCACTATGATCTGCAAGATCAAGCCAATTGTTGTACTATCAAACCTGTATCTTCCACAAAAAATGATATTTCCTATGGCAGATATATGATATGATATGTCCAATTTTTATACCCTTGCGGAGCGAAGAGTATTATAATTTCAGACAAAAGTTTGCAACGCAGTGAAGGAGACACCTCAGACTCCATAAAGTATATATATTCTTGATCACCATCACGATCTGAATCGAAATCCGTCTCTCTGTCTGTCCTCTTGTTTGTTTCTACGCAAAATAGTCTCTCAGTTTTAAAGCAATCTTGCTGAAACTTTCCCAAAAGTTGTGTAGTTATTGCACGCAGTATATAAGTCGAAACAGACCGAATCGGCTGACTATATCGGATAGCTTCCATACGAGAGAATGAAATAAAAAATTCTCACGCCGTTGTTTTTGATCAGATCGAATTGATTTCTTCCAGATGGCGTTTTCTAACTACTATTGAATTTCGGATTAAATTTTATCAAAATAGGATAACTCCATCATATAGCTGCAATAAAAAAGATATATAAGTTAAAAGAATGATTATAATTTGTTATAAAAAAAATCAATCTTTACTTTATTGAGTTTGATTAAGAACTAACTGGATTAGGTTTTACAGGTTTAATTTATAGCTACGCGTCGCTCCATCGCTGTCACCGTCTCTGCCGTTGTCGCTGCTTCTGCTGACGTTCTTTGTTTCTATTTGTTTTGGCTTCCGCAATTGCTGATGTCGTTGTCGCTGTTGGCCAATCTTAATTGTAATTGGGCGATTCACTATTAGTCATTGTTGTTGGATGCACTTTGCTTCAGTTCACTCAACTTTGGGGATAAGCGTTTCCCACGATCGATGGTCAAGAAGGTGCAAGCTCAGCGCACGTGTCATCCGATCTTATTATTATTATTGTTGGATGTACTTGCCTTGGTTCAATCAACTTTGGGCGTTTGGTGTTAATCGTTCCCATGATTGTAAAGTGCAAGCTCAGCGCGCGGGGCGTCGAACTTATTGAAGGCATGGTATTGCAATACCATTTCCTCAATTACGCAATCTATGCTCACCCTATCTTTTATTTTGTTGATCTTATTATTTCGGGTGTTAACTCTTCCCTCCTTAAGCGCGACTGTCCTCGGTCGCAATGTAATACAGCACAGGTCCGGAATGTGGGGGTTCTTCTCGCGTTTCTGGTACAGGGGCTGCAGTACTTTTCGTTGTTTTACGTCTTCGTAGTAGTTCCGTGACCGATCCTATTATTAGTAGGAGTAGGATGATGGTGGATCCGAAGCTGACTGAGGATTCTATGATCGATTTTCTTCTTAATTTTTCCAGCGCCTTTGTGTTGTCAAGATTTAATTCCTTGATCATTTGAAGAGATAGGACTTCCTCTAGTTTAGTCTTCTCTCCCATAAGTTGGAATAAGGGAGGCTCTGGTTCGACCGAGTTGATTTCTTTCGACTTGTAGATAGTTTCGCCAATAGTTACCGTTGAATTTCGGTATTGAATAATGAAAGAGCCTTGCAGTTGTAGAAGTTTTTCGTCTAGCAGAACTGGTCCATTGAAGTTGTTCAGCAATATGGTTCCAGGCAGTATTTCCTCGAAATCTGGGATGTGTTGATTGTTGATCATCTTACATTGAGGTTCTCGGAGATTCAGGAGAGCATTTACGCAAGTGTCGTTACTTAAGTTTAACAAATTTTCTGTATTGCAGACTGTCTTATCATTATGGGATTCGCAAGGTGTTTTAATAGCAAATAATTGTTTCTTACATTCTAACAAATTTTCATATTTTATATCATTGATCATTTGGGCTTTCTTTAGTGCTTTAATTTTTAAAGTTCTACAATTATCTGTTTTGATGGTTGGAAGGCTAATAATATAAATGAGGTCATCGCCGTTTGTGGCTAATTTAACTTTAGCAAATTCTAATAATTCCTCTATGTTAAAAAATAAGTTATTTTCTTTTTTGAAAATGTCCTCTACTATTTTAGTTTCTGTGCTTGTGAATACAAATGAATTTATTGTGTTAGATTTTGCCCATGTGATTGCGTAAATAATGTTATTAATTTCTTCTTTAATTAATTGAATTTTATATTTTAAAATATTAGCATTTTGGTTTGCTATTTCTTCCGAGCTCTGGGTAACTTTTAACATAGCATTGGTAGTTTTAGTAAGTTGGTTTATTTTCTCATTAATTAATTTGTTGATTACCACTTGTTTGTTGTTATTTTCTAATTGCTCATCTATTTTGTTGACTATGATCTCGTAGTCGTGGTGGTCTGGTGAACCTGCTAGCCATTTCCACGCAGTACCTATTGTTTCTATTGCTCTTTTTGGTCTCTTTTGTGTTCGGAGTATGCGTAAGTCGTTGTGAATCTGTTCTAGTTCGTAGGAAAGGTATGGGTGTAGTGGATGAGATGAGTTAAGTGAATAAAATGATTCCTCTAATTTCGCTAAAGTGTCCTTATAGCTCTGCAAATTAAAGATGTGGATGATTTTGAATGTTCCGTCTTGTTTAGCTGCAAGTCCGGTTTCGAGTGAGATGATTTGTGAGTTGGAATAGTCAAGGACCGTGGTTATCCCCAAGCACGTTGGTAAAAATAGTCTGAAAAATTATGTTCTTATGTTATTTTTATGTATGATTTTTCCTGATTGTGTCTTGATGGTGGTTGTTTTATTTTCTGCTACTTTTTCCACTTTGTACCTAGGTGTCAGTTTACTTCCTAACCTTTTGTCTATTCTTACGTGGACTGTGTCGCCTGGTTTAAAAATTTTCGGGAGCGTTTTTTCCTGGTTGTGGTACTGTAGGTCAGCGTTTTGTTTGTTTAGAATTTTCTGTTTAATTTCTTCTCTTTTCTTTTCTATCTCTTCTGCAGAATTGGAAATTGTGCTTCTGAAAAATATGTCTATGGGGCTTTCCTTTGTTATGGAATGGATTGACTTGTTATATGCCTGAACTGCTTTAAAAATTAGGTCCTCAAATGTCATGCTACCGTTGTCTTTTTTGAGGCAACGCATGATTTCGGATAAAGTTGAGTGGAACCTTTCTATTTGTCCGTTACTTGTCGATGCATAAGGGGCAGTGGTGTGTACTGATATTTTTAGTTCATCTTCTAACATAAACTTGATTGCTGCTGAGCTTAATGATCGTTCATTGTCCATTATTATCCATTTCGGCATACCGAAAGCAATTAACATTTCCCTTAACGGATTTTTTATATCTTCCGATGCTCTAGAGTTTAGAATTTTAATTTGAGCATACTTTGAAAATTTATCAATTCCTGTTAGGACACTGTGTTTTTCGGTAATGTAAATGTCTACATGAACTATTTCTCCTGGATAATTGGGAATCGGAGTTGGTTGAATTGTACCTTTTGGGGGGTGTCTATCGTATTTGGATTCTTTACAAGTTTGACATGAATTAACTATTGCTTGGATTTTCTTTATAGCTTGTGGGAAAAAATATTTCTTCAAAATTTGTAATTTATTTTCTTTAGCATCTCTATGGGCTCTTTTATGCTCGAGAGTTATTATTTCATTTTGTTGCGCTTCTGAGGTTACGTCATCTATTTCGTTTTGAGTAAACCTTACTTTGTATGACTTAAAATAGGTGGGGTAAATGTTTTGAATTTTGCCCATTACTACTTCAGATGTAATTATTCCGTTTATAATTTTAGGGTCGAGTCTGTGAGTTAAAATTGCTATGAGATTTTCTTCTGTGTAGGATTTTCTTTTTATTATGTGCCTGTGGTAGGTTGGGAATGGAATTTCGAAACTATAGGAATCTGTGTCTGCAGTCAGTAAAAAAAGTTGATTTTTAAATACGTTTATTGGGGCTTCTACCGAAAAAATAAGGTTGTGTGACGAACTTTCATCGCTATGGGCTGATGCTGAGGAGCTGATTGAATTAATTTCCGCGGGGGCCCGAGATAACGCGTCTGCCACTACATTGGCTACTCCGGGCTTGTATCTGATCTCATGGTTATACTCGCCAATAAGGTCTCTCCACCGTTTTAGCTTAGCATTGTGGTTATTTACGCTATTAGAAAAACTGAGGGGCTGGTGATCGGTGTAAATAGTCACTTTTGAATAGCCGTACAGGTAGTGTCTTAAACTTTGTAGTGCCCAAACGATAGCGAGCATTTCTCTTTCATTAGTTGCGTAGTTCTCTTCAGTTTTCGACAGGGTGCGTGAAATAAACGTTATTGGTCTATGATTTTGTTCTAATACTGCGCCAATTGCATAGCTTGAAGCGTCAGTAGTTAGCTGGAATTCTTTTCCAAAATCTGGATAGGCAAGGGTTACATCTCTGGAGACGAGGGTATTTTTGAGTTTTTCGAATGCTGCAATCGCATCTTTGCTCAAGTTGATAGCAGTTCTGCTCGACTTGGACTTAGATATGCGGCCTTCTTCGCCTCTTAAGAGAATTGTTAACGGTTTTGCTATTTTAGCGTAGTCTTTTATGAACCGCCTATAATAACCTGTCATGCCTAGAAAAGAACGCAGGTCTTTTAGTGTTTTAGGGATCGGAAATTTTGTAATTGCTTTTATTTTTTCGATGTTCGTTTTGACTCCGTTTTCTGATATTGTGTACCCTAAGAAGTCCACCTCATTTTTAAAAAAGTGGCACTTTTCTACTTGAACCCTCATGTTAGCATTTTCTAGGGTAGTGAATACTTTTTTTAAATTGATTTCGTGATCTACCTCATTTTTGCTAAAAACTATGATATCGTCGACATAGACATAGCAAATTTTCCCTATGTGTTGCCTTAGTATATCGTCTAAGGCCCTTTGAAAAATAGCTGGAGAGTTTTTGAGGCCAAACGGGAGTCTGGTAAATTCATATTTACCACCGTTTACCGCGAATGCTGTTTTTTCTATATCTGAGCTTTTTAATGGTATTTGGTGAAAACCACTTTTAAGGTCTAGCACCGAAAAATATTTATTGTTTCCAAGTT